GTGGCCCCGGGGCCTGACAGCCTAGAGCACAGGGTGGGGGTGACCTGGGGGCCACCAGCACAGCAGCGGGTGGGGGGCGGGCTCAGCTCATACTGTGGGGCTCAGGTGACCTCTAGGGGATCCGGATGAGCCCTTGACTCAGGGTTCGGTGGCCTGTCGGCATAGAACTTGGAGATCAGTAGGTGAGCCACAGACTCACAGTTGGGGTGTTCTGGCCCTGTCAACAAGGGACAGGGGGTTGGGGCACCCTGGGCCTTGCCAGCCCTGGAAGGGAGTCTTGCCCGGGCCCCATCAGCCTGAGATGTCAGAGCCAAGGGTCCTCAGGGGCTCTGTCACCACTCCTGGACGCGGATGTGAAGGTCTCATTTGGGCCGTGTTAGTCCCCAGAGTTAAGGGCCACGGTCTCCTTAATTCTGCCACCCCTGAATGTAGGGTCAGGGTTCTCTTAATCTTGTCAGTCCCTGAACATGGGTCAGGGTTCCCTCAGCTCTTATCAGCCCCCAGACACAGAGCCCTGTCAGCTCTGGACACACCCCCTCCCCAACCACTTTGATCAGTCCCATGGACGCAGGGACTCACAAACATCCCCACACGCTCCCCTGCTTCTCTGAACTGGGTGACCCGCTCCGTGTGGGCCAGGGAGCTTCCCCACATTGTGACGTCTAGCCTCACAGTCTCCTGCAGCCGGCCAGACCTCCCAGCCGCTGGTCATTGGAGCCCCCGCCGCCAGTCCCTGCCCCCACTGTCCCCTTGAGCTCAGGTCCCTGGGCCTGTCACATCCCAGGTTACTGCCCCTGCCCTGATTGCATTTCTGAGAACCCCTCAGCCCATCTTAGAGTGACACCCCCTCCCCGAGTTCTGCCCCTCTTGTCTGTGCCCCCTGACAAGGGTGAGTGCGGCTGCTGGACACCGCACATTCTTCGCTCAGAGACCCTGTCACAGCCACCTGCAAAGCTCCAGTTTCCCGTACCCTTGAGCACTGCTCCCCTACCTTCTCCTTGAGGAGTGACGTGGTTCCTGGGTCTGGGACCAGGACTGGCTGCTCGCCAAAGTCCCTTCTCAAGGGCCACTGTCTGGGGACACAGCTTCTGGACAGGCTCGCTCTGGGACAGGCCCTGGCGGTGTGCGGGGAGGGGCTGAGTGCAGAGTCTTGCAGCTTGGTGCCCCCCGGGAGTGGTTGACACCTCGAAGCCACCACAGTTCCCTGGTGTCCAGAGGTGGCTCTCCTTACCTGGAGGTCATCCCAGCTGCACTGGCTGCAGTTGCCTCACACCCCTGGCCCTCAGGAGGGTCAAAGTGATGGGTCTTCTGAGGGACTTCTGGTTGGGAGGGTTGAGTCCAGAATACGGTGCTTCTGGCCGGACTCCTTGACTTTGCATTCAGAGTTCTTCTGAATGGTCCTGAGGCCGCTGTCACGCTTCATGGGTGGAATAAGAAAAGCAGCTGCCTCCTGCACAGGCCGCGAGGATGCCCGTGGCCTGACCCTGTCCCCAGGTCTGGCCAAGGCTCCAGGGAGGGTTGGGGGCCTGTTGGGACAGAGGGATCAGCTTGCCCCAAATGTGGCAGCCAGGCACCACCCTCCCCTTGTCCCTGGGGAGACGGAACTGCTTATCTGACGGGACTGGTGTCAAGAAGACTATTTTCTTGTTGGAAATCAGACCACTTTAAAAACGGAGCCCAAGGCCAGCCTGTTCTTGGCTGGCGGCTGTCAGCCAGGGGACGGTCCCCTCATCATGCCAGGCCTTGTTCCAGCCACTCGGTGCCACTCCAGGGCCAGGCCTATGGTGCAAGGACCTGCAGCCAGCCCACGCTGTGCAGCTTTGTCTTCCTGTCGCAGTCCTGGGTCCTGTGTGTGGTGCTGGACAGACTGTCAGCAAACACTGTAGGTGCCCCCGTTGTGGGCCAGGTCCTGTGAACCAGACAGGCCAGCATCCAGCCCCACGGAGCCGTTCTTGTGGAAGGGCTTCCAGGAGGGTGGATGCTGCGATGAAGCGGGAACCAGGAGCCTGGCCTGGCAAGGGTGCTCACGCTGTTTCTGGAGAGCGTGCAGGGCCAGCGCCCTGGAGGACATGGGGACCAGCTGGGATGTGGTGTGAGTTGGGTGCCCTCCAGCGTTCCCACTGTGCCCTCCCTGATCCCCGTCTCCCTCCAGCTCGCCTGGCCCCACCTGTACAGTGAGCCCTCTCCTGCCCTCCCTCCAACTTGGCCTTCAAATCCTGTTCAGGTATCTCTCTCCTCTTCAGGGCCACACCTGCCCATGCAGAATATGCCCCTCAGGCTCTGCAGCCGAGCGCAGGGCCCAGCCCTTGTGTCTGAGCGTCACTGCCCTTCCCCTGACAGACTGGGCTCCCAGGGTGGGGCTGTCCGTGTCTCTGTGCTCCCCAGGCCTGGAGGGGGCTACTGGCAGTCACTGCTGAGTGCAGGAGGGTGGCTGGTCTCGCAAAGGGGGCTGCTAGCTACAGGCTGTGGACTTGGAAGTTCAGTTGTTTCGGGGAACGGAGAGAATTCTGAGGTTCTCTTTCCAAGGCCTGTGTCGCGAGCGCGGTGGTTTGATACAGGTTCTAGGAACAGACCGGGTTGGAATTCCAGCTCCACTTTGAGCAGGTAGCGTGGCCCCTCTGAGTCTCAGTTTGCTTCTGTGTGAAATAGGTTTACGTTAAGCACTACCTCCTGGAGGGGCTGTTGTGAGGTCGGGTGAATGGGAACAGCTCCTCAAGGGTGGCAGTGGCGGGGCCGGGTCACCGGAGACGCTAGTTACATCCACATTGCCCAGGGAGCACTCATGGCTTGGTCCATGGTGGGGCGTTCGTGTTTCACACCCAGGGCACAGTCTGGTGTGGCTTTTTTCACTAAGCCAGTGAGCAGATCATCAGAATCCGTGTTTTCCTCCCCAGAACTTCTAACCCAGAGTTTCTTCTCATTTCAACGCGGTGGGCCCTTAACACTCAGGAGCACACCAGGTTTCCGGGCTTCCTCGGCTGGGTCGGAAACAGGCCTTCAGGTGCTCTCTCTGCCCCTGCCAGGCCCCTGCACCTCCTCCGCCGTCACATCAGCGCCCCCTCCTCCCTGTGGGAGGCCGGGGCTGCCGTGACTAAAGCATCATACACTTGGCCGCTTAAAACAGCAGCAGGTTTCCTCGCACAGTCTTAGAGGCCATGGGCCTGCGGTCAGGGTGGGGCGGGGCTGGGCCCCTGTGAGGGCTCTGGGGGGCATCCTTCCTGCCTCCCCTACCTGGCGCGGGTGTCCTGGGCTTGTGGCTGTGATGCTCCAGTCTTCACCTGTCTTCACACAGCTTCTTCTGAGTGTCTTCACCTGGTGTTTCCCTCGCCTCATGAGGACCCCAGTCACTGGGTCAGGGCCACCCTAATGACCTCATCTTAACCTGATTACACCTACAAAGACCCCATTTCCAAATGTGGTCGTAGTCACAGTCAAGAGGGGTTGCGACTTGAACGTGTATTTGGGGACACAGGACACCAGCCCTCACTAGCGTCCCCAGCACTAGCACGGCGGGAGGCAAGGCCAGGATGCTGCCGGCTCAGCTGGGAGCAGAGACGTCTCCCTCGCCGTCCTGGAGGGCCCGCACAGGGACGGCTCTGCGAAAGGGCCTGGGCTCTTAGTTGCTGTCTTGGTCAGCAGCCACCTTGTGGTCCAAGTTAAAGCAATTTCAGTGTAGCATCTGGCAGTTTGTTCCTGTCATTGATTTTGGAGCCTGGAGAGGAACCACAGGCCTTGCTGAGACCAGCCCCAGGACCGCTGGAATTCGGGGGTTTCATTTTGCCTGGCAGGGACTTGGTGGGACGAGGTACCTAGGACCACCCACATATTCAGCAGGTAGGCACAAGGGCCTGCGATGTGCCAGGCCCCCTGCTCAGGCCGGGGTGGGGGGGGGGCCAGCTGGACGAGACACTGCCCGCACGCTCCTGGCAGCGGCAGCCGTTGGAGCTCAGACAGTCTGATCCCACTTCCAGCCGCCCTTTCGCTGGGCCCCTGGCTGGGACTGGGTGGTCTTCAGATGAGACAGGAGCCCTTCTCTGTTTGGCTGGGGGTTTTCAGTTACAAAGTGAAGGAACTTTATCAGATGCTCGAAACTGTCTAAAAAGTAGCAGTTTCTCTTTCTGTGAGCACGTCTGGAGGGGAAGGGAGTGTGGGTCCCTGATTCTAAAGGGGCACTTCTGAGAGCGAGTGAGAGCGGTGGGCAGGCTTGGGGAGACGCAGGGGTCACCTGTGCCCCGACCCCTCAGTAACTGCACCTGAGCTCAGAAAGCAGGGGGTCTGCAAGCCTGGGCCTCCTGTGCCGGCCAGCGGCCCACAGGGCGTCCTCTTCCCTCACACCTTGGCTCCTGTGGAGTGGGAGGTGGGGCGGGGGTGAAAGCAGGGGCCCCTCTCTTGGCTGGCCTGGTCTGTCATAGCATCACTGGCAACACAGGCTGAGCTCAGAAAGGGGGCCCAGAGAAAACGGTGTAGGAGCAGCCTTGATCCCAGCTCACCTGCCAGGGCCAGGAGGGCCCCCCGGTGGGGGCAGGGTCCAGGGGCCGAGGGGGCCGGTGCCCAGACCGCCCACTGGGGCACAGATCGCAGCCCCGCCTCTCACCAGCTCTCAGAATTGCCACCTGGAAACTGTGGGTCGTGAGGACTGAATTTATATGTAAAACACTTACAAGGAAGGAAAGATAGAGGAACACCTCAAAGTCAGATCCACGAAACCAGCTGGGGTCAGATCTTCAGACTTGGTGGGACCAGAGACATCTGTGCTGCAGTGACCAGAATGAACTGGGCGAGCTGGGCGGCAGAGCTCGGACGGGCCCTGGGCAGCGGCCTGGCGGGTGGGGGAGCGTGCCGGGGGCCTCCGCAGCCTGCGGACGAGGCCCCAGGTGTGTGGGAGCCAACAGGCCAGCCGGGAAATTACCCGAGGAGACAAGGCAGGGGAAGCCAGGCCGGCCGCTGTGTGGGGCTGCTGAGCCCAGCCGCTCTCCAGGGGCGGTCCTGCCCCTGCTAGGCCGGCTTCTCTGCCTGGGCCCAGGGCCCACGCGCCCTCCTCCGGTGGGCGCTCTCTCCAGGCAGGCCTGCCTCACAGCTGCCGTGGGGTCAGGGCTCACCTGGCCCCATCCCGGGCCTCTTGGGACGCTGGGTATCTGCCTGACACAGCCTCCCGCTGCCCTCCTTCCCTCCCTGCTGTCCTGGCCGGGCCTGGGCCCCAGGTCCCCTTACCTGAGGCCTCCTGCACTTCCACGTCTCCCCCAGGCACCCTCCCTCTGACCTGGCCGGTGCCCTCCTCCCTCACAATCAGAGGGGTGGGCGGATGTGCCACGGTAGTGGCCTTGACCTGAGGGTGCAGCCCGCTCTGGGTTTCTGGGCCCAACACTGGGTGGGAGGCTGCCCTCCCAAGCTCCCTTGCACGTGCTAGGCACTGGTAAGGCCCCCACCCAGGATGGTTTTGAACCAGACCAAACATCTGTTTGTCTCTGGGACAACCCTAGCACCTTCCCCACCTCAGAGGGCTGGTAGGAGCCCCTGTCATCGGGCGGCTAGTCCTCAGTCACCTGTGGGTACTGGGACGCGCTCCTCCCTGGCCACCCAGCACATCTGTGGGTCTCTGGGCTTCAGTCTCAGGCCTGACCTGAGGCCACATGTGTCCCCTCCTGAGGAGTGGCTAAGGCTGTGCCCCCAGCCCACAGGGCCTCATGCCCAGATGCTCAGAGCCTCCTCAGCACGGGTCTGGTGGAAGTGCTAGTTAACAGGCTTTCTGCTCCCTGTCACTGGGCAGGGCTTTGCTCCAAGAAGAATCCCCGCCGCTGGGCCTAGACCATGGCGAGGAGGAGCTGTTGGCTGATGCGAAACCCATTGGCTGCTCTGATGCTCGGTTGGGGATGGAGGCAGGAGAGTGCCAAGCACGGTGTCCGGTGTCTCCCGCCAGGTGACAGGCACGAGTGGTCCCAGGAGAGTGATGGTGCCAGGGCTGCAGCTGCCCTGGAGGGAGTGAGGGCCACATAAGAGCTGAGCCCAAAGTCAGGGAGGACATAGCCACTGGAGGAGCTGGAGAAGGAAGATTCCAGACCAAAGGAACAGCGCTCTGGGGGCCCTTGGTGGGGGGCTGTGGTGCGTGCAGGGAGCGGAGGGCAGACAGCGAGCAGGCTGGGTCGCCTCCAAATGCTCCTGGGTGTCCTGTGCTGGGGACTGGGGTGGGGTGTGTACAGGGCCCTTGTGGGGCCGAGGCAGGGCTGTCAGCACTGGTGATGGCTCCAGACGGGTTTCTTGGCTGCTGCACCCCCAGGTGGGCAGAGGAGGGTTGGCAGGACAGGTGCTCACCTGAGGGCCAGTCCTGCAGAGCTACCACTGGACCTTACCCAGCCCACCACGCCCCCTTCCCGGGGCTTCCACCTGGGCCCTCAAACCTGCAGAGACCTTACAGAAGTGTCTCTCCCTGCCTCCAGCCCGCTGTGGGCCAGCGTGGCCTGCCCCACCAGTCCTGGGCCTGAGAGCGCTCTTGGGACCCGTGGGCTGAACTCCGAGAGGCGGCCGCAGACCAGGGTACAGCTGGCCACAGCTCTGCGTCCCCCTCAGATTCTTCTAGCAAACTCTGGCCCTTGGGTGGCCCTGCCCAGCATGCAGACCTTTCCGCAGACCCCATGGCCTTCTGTCCCCGTGGCCTGGGGGCCTCCCTTCCCAGAGGGGAGCCTGGTACCTGAGTAGCAGATGGCACCTTGTGGGGCCTGTGGCCCTGGTTCTGCAGCAGAACCTGCAGGGCAGCCCCCGGTGTGTATCCTAAGGCCCCGCGGTTTCCTCTTCACAGAAGGCGCGTCGCCTCCCAGCGCTGCTCCCTCGAGTTTCTGGAAGACACAGTGGGATGTGCCTCGGTTCAGCGGTAAGGAGCCCTGCGGCTGCCCGCCCCGCGGCCTGTGCCCCGGCCACTCACCTAGGGCCAGAGAGAGTCCCAGAGGGGAAGAGTGACCTGCTTTTCACCTGCAGGACAAAACACATATCCGGGTCCCCGAGACACAAAGGCCTGAAGAAGACTCACTTCATCAAGAACATGAGGCAGTACGACACCAAGAGCAGCAGGTACCGCCTGGCGGCCAAGGCCAGGGCTGCCCTCCGCGCCCCGAACCCGGCGGCCGAGGCCGGGGCGGCCCTCCACGCCCCGAACCTGGCGGCCCCAAGCTACCCTCGTCAGCAGCCCTTTCTTCCTTCAGTGCACAAGTCTCATCCCCACAGCCCGCCCCATGTCCTTTTAGAAGTGGACCCTCCTCCCCGTCACCTCCCTACCCTACTCCCCACATTCACTGAGCTCCAGGGCCCATGGTGCATCCTGGGTGAGGAGCCACCCAGCAGGGACCACCACTGAGCAGGCGTGCTGAGGTGCAGGCACAGTGGAGATAGTGGGGACGGGCAGGGGCGTCCAGGAGAGAAGGCCTTGCTCTATTTGGGAAGCACAGAGGGGACCTGTCCTCCTGGAACTGGGGTGCAGAGCGCAGCTGGGGCCCAGCACAGCCCTCGGAGGCCCTGTGTCTGTGGGTGCTGGGTGAGGGGCCTTTGGGGGCCGCTCCTGTCACCTGTCCTTCACGCCCCATGTCCCTCATACCCCACATCCTTCACACCCCACCCTGCAGGCCCTGAGGCATCATCCTCGTTCTCCTGACCCAGAGGGTCCCCAGACCCTTCTCCTGCTGGAGGCCGTGCGCAGGCCTCCAGCAGGCAGCCCTGGTCAGGGAGTGCTGTGTCTTCCCAGAGGTGGCCGTAGCTTGGACAGTCCCTGACGCCCCAGCATGGTCCCCAGCAGGACAGGTGTGGCCTGGTATGA